ATTTCTGTTTTTATCGATGAGGGAGGAACTGTTTATATTTGGCTAGTAATAGTAAATATTGTATAAAAAGTGGTTTAATTTTATAGATTTTTCTTTTTGCCCTAATTTGTGATGCATTTTCCTTTATAATTAATGTTTCGTGGGTTATTTTATAATCTTATTCATGTTGGTGTTTTAGTTAAGGCATACATTAATTTGTTTCATTTGATATCTTGTATGTTTTTTTTATCTATTTGCATTTGTAAATTCAGATAATATTCAACATTTCTGTGTTGCCTTCTGTGTGTGTTTTATTATGTATTTTCATCATTATCCAATATAAAAATTAGGATACACATTGTTTAATTCAATAATTTGTATACCCAAGTTAATACCGTAATTTATATGTTACTGCAAAATGAGCTTGGTAAAAATTAGACTGGATTCCAGTCCCTAAACTTAGTCTTAATCAGTGAAAAAGGTTTAAAATAAATCGATTTTGGCACCAATGACGTTCCATATTACATATTTGCCTGGAATTCCATAGTATAGTATACTTTTTCTGGGATAAGCTAAAAAGTTTCCAAAGTTTCCCGATATAACCAGACGTTGATGGCATTCTTCGAAAGTCTGACTAGTCTTTCTCTAACACTAGGAAAAACAATTAGACTTGTGGCAAGTCTAGGTAAGAGTGCCCTTTATTATGTCCTATTAATTGGTAATGGAAAGACATTTAAAAAAAAATTTAAACCAAGGCATTCATGCATAAATTTCATTTATTCTTAGACATTTCGTTTTTATCAAATTTTAAGGTTTTTGTGTTAATGTTTTAAAAATTATTCATTGTTAGACATTTCATTTTTATAAAATTTTAAGGTTTTTTAGGTTAATGATTTAAAAATTAAAACCACTGCAATCAGGCATAAATTTCATTCATTGTTCGATTGTTAGGAACATCCAATTTCATAGACTCCTTTGCAACGACGAGAATTAAATATAAATGGAAAAATTATAATTTCTTTAGATTATTATTTTTTGTTCATTCCTAATACTGTACAGTATATTTGAATGTCATCAATGTAGCTTTAATATTTTTGACACAAAATTTAAAAAAAAGCCAGTATCCTGTACGTTTGTGCTATACAGTACACGGAAAATCTTTGCTGAGGGCGCCACCAGCATCTTCACCAGGCCAATGTAAACACCGGAGTTTATAGTGAGGATACAGCTTACCAGGAAATATAACGACTTTGATGAAAGAAATAAGAGATGTATTCAATTTCAGTATACTTTAATAGAAAAAATTACAAGACATTGTACCATCGTACATTTCAATTTGTGCAATAGTGACCCCTCCAATTAAAGACCACCTATTCTGTGGTCCCAAATTAACATTATGTCTTATCTTTATTATTCTAATTAGAGACTAAAGCAGCTAAAGACCATAAAAACCCCAGTCCCAAAAGTGGAGGGAGACCTGTATTTTAATAATATTTGATTGTATAAAGATTTGGTCCTCATATTTCATTGTTTCTATGATAACTAATTTGAATCTTCATTGATAGAATTTATATATAATAAGTATCCAGGAAAACGAATTCAATGCATAGAGAAGTATGCATATAATACCTCTATGTCCAGTGGAGGGAATTATCGTGTGTTGCATACAATAACATTCAGTTTTAATCTTTTCATAGTTTAGATGGCTCTATTGTATCTGTACTTGCATGTACACCATTCAACCAGTTGATTAACATCTCATTTACCTCTTTAGGTCTGAAAGTCAAGAAAATTGCATAACATTTATTATCATAGATTGAAAAATACAAATTTTCAAGATTCAATATTTAAGAACTTTAATTAGTGTATATATAATGTACATAATTTTTTGTGCTTGATAGATTAAGTGAGATGAAAACAATAAACAACAAATATACAATACTGTATATAAAATAGTAAAATGAAAATGAGTAAAATGGGAGCCTATCTGAACATTAGGCCCTATAAAAAATATTATTAGTTTATCACCCTATCTGGGCAGAAAAGTGATGAGGGAGGGAGGCTTTTTTTTAAAGCCAAATATCACCCTTGGGTTGTTTTCTGGTGCGTTGATATTCAAAAAAACATGATTTAGATAATGTAAACAATATCTACTAACTATTTAATAAAATAAATGAAAAAAATAAAAAAAAATTTTCAGAAAAATGTTTTTTTCCAGTACCATAGAAGACATGAGTGGGCAGGTGATAAACTAATAATTTTTTTTATTGGGCCTAAGCTGACCCTTGGAAACCCATATCGGGTATAAACCCATCAGCTGTGTTTTAACCTAATGAAAACCACCTGATGTATAAACCCGTCTGGGTAATAAACTGAACCTGGAATACCTACATGTACATACACGCCCCAACTTTCAAATAAATTTTTTTGCAAAGTCTTTTGCAAAGCCCCTAATTTTTCTATGAATGTTCAAATTGAAGGTCATCCAGGAGTCGCACGTCCTTTTAGTGACAGTAGTAGGTAACATCAATGATACTTATAATAAAGCTGTACTTTATGTTACTTATTTTCAGCATACTGTTGTTTTGAAGAAAATGTTTTACAGTAGTTCACATATTTTTAACTTTAATCTGTAGGTTCCATTGCAAGTGGGTTGTGTGGATCCGCAGCCGGGTTCTGTTCCAAGATCACAGTCTACCCACTCGACCTTATCAAGAAAAGACTGCAAGTGCAAGGATTTGAAGAGGCCCGTAAGTCCTTTGGTTCTGTTCAGAAGTGTTCTAGTCTGTTAGATTGCATATGCTCCATAGCTAGGCATGAGGGCTTAGGCTGTCTCTTATACACATCTAGATGTGTTCTGTTTTTATCGATGAGGGAGGAACTGTTTATATTTGGCTAGTAATAGTAAATATTGTATAAAAAGTGGTTTAATTTTATAGATTTTTCTTTTTGCCCTAATTTGTGATGCATTTTCCTTTATAATTAATGTTTCGTGGGTTATTTTATAATCTTATTCATGTTGGTGTTTTAGTTAAGGCATACATTAATTTGTTTCATTTGATATCTTGTATGTTTTTTTTATCTATTTGCATTTGTAAATTCAGATAATATTCAACATTTCTGTGTTGCCTTCTGTGTGTGTTTTATTATGTATTTTCATCATTATCCAATATAAAAATTAGGATACACATTGTTTAATTCAATAATTTGTATACCCAAGTTAATACCGTAATTTATATGTTACTGCAAAATGAGCTTGGTAAAAATTAGACTGGATTCCAGTCCCTAACCTTAGTTTTAATCAGTGAAAAAAGTTTAAAATAAATCGATTTTGGCACCAATGACGTTCCATATTACATATTTGCCTGGAATTCCATAGTATAGTATACTTTTTCTGGGATAAGCTAAAAAGTTTCCAAAGTTTCCCGATATAACCAGACGTTGATGGCATTCTTCGAAAGTCTGACTAGTCTTTCTCTAACACTAGGAAAAACAATTAGACTTGTGGCAAGTCTAGGTAAGAGTGCCCTTTATTATGTCCTATTAATTGGTAATGGAAAGACATTTAAAAAAAAAATTAAAACCACTGCATTCATGCATAAATTTCATTTATTCTTAGACATTTCGTTTTTATCAAATTTTAAGGTTTTTGTGTTAATGTTTTAAAAATTATTCATTGTTAGACATTTCTTTTTTATAAAATTTTAAGGTTTTTTAGGTTAATGATTTAAAAATTAAAACCACTGCAATCAGGCATAAATTTCATTCATTGTTCGATTGTTAGGAACATCCAATTTCATAGACTCCTTTGCAACGACGAGAATTAAATTGAATTAAATATAAATGGAAAAATTATAATTTCTTTGGATTATTTTTTGTTCATTCCTAATACTGTACAATATATTTAAATATGCCGTATGTGAATGTCATCAAATGTAGCTTTAATATTTTTGACACAAAATTTAAAAAAAAGCCAGTATCCTGTACGTTTGTGCTATACCTGTCTCTTATACACATCTAGATGTGTATAAGAGACAGATATTACAGCAGTATTCCCAAAAGACAACGCCAGTCAGGCGAGACTTGTTTTATTACCTTGTCTTGTGAACCTGCTGCCTGCCGATAATGATGATTTTGAATAAAATACTAATTTAATTTTTGGCCAGTTAGTAAACTTGCCTCCACAAAAAAATTAATATTTCAGAATAAATTAATTTATTTCTAATTTGGACCCCCCACCATGTCTATATTTCTTCCTCAATCGATTTGTATGAACATTTATCAATCCCCTATACTACACTGTTTACGTTCATCAATAGAACTTTATTTTTATTTATTTTTTCTCAGCCTAAATGCTTTGGATTAATCCATTTTGCTATGAAAGAAAACATAATTTTTTTTTGTTCTTACCCCCCTCTGAGTCAGCTACTCTCGGATATCTTGCTGCTCCCCTAAGGGTCTCTTCATGTCTGAGCTACCCGGTAGACCGGTACCAGCTATCTCTTTTCTGCCCACAACAGGGCTGTATGAACCAGTACACCTGGGTAAAGCTGCATTCACACCGAACTGAAATGCGTATAACGTTTTCGATGTGTGTCTAATACGCACCTCTATTCTTTACCACTGCTTCGATTTTCGTTTCGTTGGACATACGAACCGGATTCGGTGTGAATCTACGTTAACCTCCTACTTATCTCGAAAGATGTGCTAGATCCTGTACTAGGGATTATACTTATGTTGCAGTTAGATGTAGGTAACACAATATTTTATTTACAATTGTGCGTAGGTTTAAGGGCACATTGAAAAAATTATTAGATTATCACTCTTTTTGAAAAAAATCGATGAGGGAGGGCGGTTTTTTAAAAATTATTTATTAGAACAATAGATTATTTCGCTTCTGTTTTTATCGATGAGGGAGGAACTGTTTATATTTGGCTAGTAATAGTAAATATTGTATAAAAAGTGGTTTAATTTTATAGATTTTTCTATTTGCCCTAATTTGTGATGCATTTTCCTTTATAATTAATGTTTCGTGGGTTATTTTATAATCTTATTCATGTTGGCGTTTTAGTTAAGGCATAAATTAATTTGTTTCATTTGATATCTTGTATGTTTTTTTTATCTATTTGCATTTGTAAATTCAGATAATATTCAACATTTCTGTGTTGCCTTCTGTGTGTGTTTTATTATGTATTTTCATCATTATCCAATATAAAAATTAGGATACACATTGTTTAATTCAATAGTTTGTATACATAATATGTAATTTATATGTTAGTGCAAAATGAGCTTGGTAAAAATTAGACTGGATTCCAGTCCCTAAACTTAGTTTTAATCAGTGAAAAAAGTTTAAAATAAATCGATTTTGGCACCAATGACGTTCCATATTACATATTTGCCTGGAATTCCATAGTATAGTATACTTTTCTGGGATAAGCTAAAAAGTTTCCAAAGTTTCCCGATATAACCAGATGTTGATGGCATTCTTCGAAAGTCTGACTAGTCTTTCTCTAATACTAGGAAAAACAATTAGACTTGTGGCAAGTCTAGGTAAAAGTGCCCTTTATTATGTCCTATTAATTGGTAATGGAAAGACATTAAAAAAAAAAATTAAAACCACTGCATTCATGCATAAATTTCATTTATTCTTAGACATTTTGTTTTTATCAAATTTTAAGGTTTTTTAGGTTAATGATTTAAAAATTAAAACCACTGCAATCATGCATAAATTTCATTCATTGTTCGATTGTTAGGAACATCCAATTTCATAGACTCCTTTGCAACGACGAGAATTAAATTGAATTAAATATAAATGGAAAAATTATAATTTCTTTGGATTATTTTTTGTTCATTCCTAATACTGTACAGTATATTTAAATATGCTGTATGTGAATGTCATCAATGTAGCTTTAATATTTTTGACACAAAATAAAAAAAAAAGCCAGTATCCTGACTTCCTGTACGTTTGTGCTATACAGTACACGGAAAATCTTTGCTGAGGGCGCCACCAGCATCTTCACCAGGCCAATGTAAACACCGGAGTTTATAGTGAGGATACAGCTTACCAGGAAATATAACGACTTTGATGAAAGAAATAAGAGATGTATTCAATTTCAGTATACTTTAATAGAAAAAATTACAAGACATTCTACCATCGTACATTTCCAATTAAAGACCACCTATTCTGTGGTCCCAAATTAACATTATGTCTTATCTTTATTATTCTAATTAGAGACCAAAGCAGTATTTTAATAATATTTGATTGTATAAAGATTTGGTCCTCATATTTCATTGTTTCTATGATAACTAATTTGAATCTTCATTGATAGAATTTATAAGTAATATCAAAGAAAGTATCCAGGAAAACGAATTCAATGCATAGAGACATATGCATATAATACCTCTATGTCCAGTGGAGGGAATTATCTTGTGTTGCATACAATAACATTCAGTTTTAATCTTTTCATAGTTTAGATGGCTCTATTGTATCTGTACTTGCATGTACACCATTCAACCAGTTGATTAACATCTCATTTACCTCTTTAGGTCTGAAAGTCAAGAAAATTGCATAACATTTATTATCATAGATTGAAAAATACAAATTTTCAAGATTCAATATTTAAGAACTTTAATTAGTGTATATATAATGTACATAATTTTTTGTGCTTGATAGATTAAGTGAGATGAAAACAATAAACAACAAATATACAATACTGTATATAAAATAGTAAAATGAAAATGAGTAAAATGGGAGCCTATCTGAACATTAGGCCCTATAAAAGGGAGGCTTTTTTTTAAAGCCAAATATCACCTTTGGGTTGTTTTCTGGTGCGTTGATATTCAAAAAAACATGATTTAGATAATGTAAACAATATCTACTAACTATTTAATAAAATAAATGAAAAAAATAAATTTAAAAAAAAACCAATTTTTTTTCAAGAAAATTTTTTTTTCCAGTACCATAGAAGATATGCATGCGGAGGTGATAAACTAATAATTTTGTTTTATTGGGCCTTAGAGTTAAACAGGCCTATCAAAACAATTGACTTTTTAGTCCATGCAAGACGTATCTAAAATCATTGAACCCTGACCTTTCAACTTGTGTCCAATGGTTGCAGACTTCGATATGACCTCGTTTTAAGTTTGGAATCTGGAAAAAAAAACAAAAAAAAAAAACAATTGAGATATGAATCAGTTTTTAGAAAGCATAGAATAGAAAATAGAAATTGAACAATAGTGGGCTCACTCACCCATTTCTCCATATGTTTGCTTGATGCTGGCGTGAGAACAGTATCACGACCAGCTGTGATCATTAGGGACGGTGCATATATCTAATAAAAAACAAAAGAAACCCATTCAGACACAAGTTACTGTTTTGTAGAACATAAAACAAAATCTTTCCTTCATTTAATTTTTTCAAATTTCTCAAATTATTTTTTATACATTTTTATAACTGGATACTGATAGCAATTTGTATATGTGTTTATGAGACATTCCAACACTGCATTTTGGTTCTCATGATAAGTTACATTTTTAAACAAAACTGTACCTTTCTTCCTGCAGCTTTGCACATCCATTTCCAGTTGGCCTCAATATTACGATACCAGTTCAAGGGACCCCTGTAGTAGCAGTACAAGAGATTACCGTTACTTTCAAATTTGCTGTAGTAATTAAGAGCTTTTAAAAACAGAATACGGAATTCCAATGTAGGTCCAATTTGCAATCAGGCAATGGAACAAAAAACAAGGTTCTACCACGAGATTGGGGAGGGGTGGCACTTTAATATAATTGCATTATTTACAAGCAGCACCTGTTCAAAAAGAACAACTTTTATGTTCTTTTGAAAAACGCCCTCTAGTACTTGTGTAGTACTTTTCGAGATAGGACTGTATTTCAACAAACCCAGAGAGTTGGAACTCTTGCAGTTGTATTCTCTTTGATAAAAGTTATTGTAGAGGACAATCAGAGGTAGCGCCAGGGGTCGGGGAGAGCCCCCTCACCTTTGGGGAGAAAACCACAATTCGGCAGGGAAAAAGTGACACCTGACCATGCCTACTTTTTTCGTTGGGGAAATCGGGGGCCCCCCCATCGGGGAGCTTGGACCCCTGTCAGGCAAATCCTGGCGCCACCACTGGAGACAACTATACATTTTCAGAATGTACAGTAAATGATTTTGTACCTAAAGCCACTCTTTTTAAACTGCTTGATGTAATACTGCAGGTCCTCCTCCGTTAGCATCACACTTCTTGCGACGTTGTCAGGTGATCCAACAAGCAAGCCACCTGTATTTTAAACAAATATCATTAACCACCTGTATTTACATTATCACCTGTATTTACATTACCACCTGTATTTAAAACAAATATCATTAACCACAAGCTAGGCAGTCGCAAATCTATGACAAAGGACTTTTCAGCTAAGCCCCGCCCCTTAAATATTATATTCATAAGTTCCCACAAAACTAATGTTAAAACATACGCAAACATGTACGTTTGTGGAACAACACGTGTGTTTGTTATATATGCACATATTCTTGGCAATTGTTTTTTAAACAACAGACTGTTGTTTTGTAAAGCGCCCTCCACAGAGTGTGCCTAGCTTTAGATATTTGCTTGTGAACTGCAATATATTATATGCAGTATTATATGGGCCCCATCATAAGATTAGCATTTTGTAGCTAGAAGAGGACATGCTCATATCTATGGTCAATTGACATAAACCTATGTTGTGTGTATGGTGTTTATGTCGATTGACCTTAATATAAGCAATCACAGTTCTACCAGTGGCAGATCCAAGGGGGCCCAGCCGGCACAGGGTCCTCCCAAATTTTTAAAAATATACAAAAAATGGAGTAAAAATGAAAATTCAGTCTGGCCATGATCATTATTTTCCTTACCTCAGTCCCAACCATGGTGAGCCTGAGGTGGTATAGACTCTCTATCTGTAAAAGTCAATTTCTGGGCCCCCTCTATTTCAAATTCCTGGATCCGTCAATGACTATGAATTGGCTTATTCAGAGTTTACTACCAATGATTATTTATGAAAAATAAAACAAAACACTACTTACCCCGTTCCCGAACATTGCCTGTGGAAATTTTCAAGTTTTGTGGAGATTTTAAAGCATCCTGAACCAAAAAAAAAAAAATTACAATCTATGCAGTCTGTATTAATAGAATTTGTATTTTAGTTATAAAATATGACTATAGTCATGGGTAAATACATAATTACCAAATGACAGTTTTTATACATTTTACCTTCGGGTCTCTCGATCGAAACATAATCTTGAATGTTCGCTCTAAATCACCTTCAAACTCAGCCTCTGCGACTCCCTGCAAGTGAGAAAAGTCAATATGAATTGCTATAGAAAGTACATTAGGAAAACACCACACAGTAACACTGTACTGTAAGTGAAATAAATTGATGATGGATACACATTATATTATGCCTAGTCAAATACATTATAAAAATCACTTGGCTGAAATACGATGTGGACGGAGGTCAAAGTAAGTTTGCAGAACATCAGGTTATGACCACCAGAAAACTTCAAATCCACTCAACTGATGATCATCAGAGTAAGAACATATTATACAAAAGGAAAAAATATATATGTGAACATGAAACAGAAAATTTGATAATCTGGCCAGAGGTTTTCAAAGTGACAAAAACCTTGTGGCTTTCTACAACGAAGTCTTCAAATGTCAATAATTATGAATAAATATAACGCGACTGATATTTGATAATGTAACAAACACATGTACTAAAATCAAACTCATTTTATATCGCATTTCAGCAGGGATCATAAAGACATAGTTCACAATTCTTTCGAAGAGATGTTTCTTGTGTGCTTCGCGGTTGAGTTGTCTGTAGCCGGTCTAAAGGAGTGACTAAATCATGTGAGTGTATAACATTATGGAAAATATGAATAAAACGTAAAATTGTGAGAGATTAAAGGAGGAAGGATTCATTGTGCGACGGTTGTTCGTGGCAGTGAGTGTCCAGCTTTACTCATACACTTCAATTAAATCAACTGTACTCACTGGTGTTTGAAAGTACATCTGATAATCAAATCGTCCTGGGTCCTTTTGCATCGCGTGCCATGGGTTGCTCTTTGGGTTTGGCGGAAAGAATGGTGTATTTAGCCCTGCAACACATCTAAAAATGTAAGGAAATAATAATAATAATTCATAGATTAAAGAAAGAACACTTTATATCTGTTCAGTAGAGGTCAGTGTCTTTAGGCTACCCTGCTATAATACCAAGCGTGGCACCAGGATTTGTCTGACGGGTGTCCGATGTCCCCGACGAGGGGGCAGGGGGGCAAATATTCTCATCGCTCAAAAGTGTTCCGGAGGTGAGGGCTTATTTAATCTGCTTTAGAGTCTACTAATATGTAGAAAATACTTATACTTTTTTGTGGTTTTTCTCCCCTATTGGGGTTTTGGTCCCCTGGCCCCCGCTAACGCCACCCCTACTATATACCTTATTCTTTCAGGATACATCAGAGCTAAGTTCCAGACAACAGCTCCACCCCAATCATGCCCCACTATACTGGCTTGAGGTAGGCCTAGCACATCCATCAGTCCAATAACATCCTGAAATAACACATAAATAAATGAAAATCTCAGAGCAGACATGAAAAAAACAATTAGATAAAAATCCCAGTCATGGAAGCTGCACACCTATAGACTTAGGTATAAAACAGACTACCCCTTCCCAAGCCTCATAAGAAGGGTCTCAAATGATGCACTTTGCTGGATTAAACCCTCTTGGTCCCAACTTCGACTCGAAATGGATTGAAGTCTTGGCTATCCAACTTTGACCGCTGTCAAAATTTACTAACGAAAAAAATAGGCTGTTTTCAAATCGCTGTTCTGTGTAAATTCTGGCCCCAAAACTTTTGAAAGTTTTTGTACGCATGTGTCAAGCTTGTTTATCTCGGAGTTAAAAAAAAAACTGACATCATGCTTTTTATGGGAATGGCCGCACAGGATGTTTATTTTACAGGCGATAGAGCGATCAAGTTACATTTCAATTTTTACAGCGATGAAGGTGAATCCTGCAGTAGTTTGACATGCCTATCAGAGGTGATAATGGGCAGGCGATAAGCAGTGATGACGGCTGGGATGATGTTGATGGTTATGGGCCTAAGCCTAGAGAGGCTATGCTATAGTCAAAGGATTGGAATGGAAAAATTGTGCTTATAATAATGCATGTTTGGGAAAGTAATTCACATAACCATGTCTATTGTGAATGTTTTTATTACTTTGTTACTATTTTATAGTGCTAATTGTTCTTTTTCAAGAGAACTTTTTGCCAGTGATTTATACTAGGCCTATAAGCATTTTTCTATCATCATTTTTTATTAGAACTACAAAAAAAAATTCTAAAAATATGAATTATACATCAAGTGAAAGCTTATTCCATAAGGAACATTTGTTTTTAAATACATACTTTTTGTAAAAATACAGAAAGTTCTCAAAAAGTAATCAGAAAGGCGTAAACTCACATACCCAAAATAATTTGGGAATCAAGGGTTTGCACTGCAAAAATAATCTGGGATCAAGAGGGTTAAAACATTTTTTTGCCTCAAAATTTGTACTCACCCCACACAGCTTTTCCTGTGTGTAGGCTTCAATATCTGTAAAGATAAGACATACAACAATATTTAAACTTATCTAATGTAAGAGTGAGTGGCATGCATAAAGGTCTTGGACTTCTGATCTTGAAATGGGGAGTTTCAGACTGATGCTCGATGAATTCCTTGTGTCCTTGAGCAAGGCACTTAAATTAATTTGCCTCTCTCCACCCAGGAGTATAAATGGGTGCATGGTAGGATGGAATGGCATTGAACATATGGGTTAGCAACATGACTAGGGATACTCCCCACAGAGCATAAAATGTGCAGGCTATAGCCAAGTCAGTATCCAGTGACCAGAGAATAATGATACCAGTGCCTTGAACTGTGAAATGTGCTATATAAATTCTAAAACAAAATGTAACAAAATATCTTTCTACATTAAGCCATGGAGGTATATTTTATATCTCCATGATTAAGCTAAGCCTAAATTGTATATACCTAAAATAGGGACCAAATCAATAAAACTCACCTGGTGGATTGCTGCTGTCCCCATAACCTCTCTGGTCCAAAGCTATCACCCGGTAGCCTGCATTGCCCAGGGCTGGTATCTATAGTAAGAAATATAAGATTATACATATGATATATTCATAGAGATTAGTTCTGCCAGATAAAACCCAAGATTTTTTTACCTGGTAACGCCAAGAGTACCAACTTTCCGGGAAGCCGTGGCAGAAGATGACAGGTGGGCCACTTCCATAATCAACGTAATGAATGCGTATTCCATCCTTCAGGTCAACGTTGCAGTGCGATACCTTACTCGGCTGTGCAGCAAGAGGTCTGGGGGTTTTAAAGACCTATATGAATGACAATATTGACAATGGTCAAAATTCTTAATTTAATTTCTGTATTGCTGATGCGCTATGCCACAGTCGCTGGTACGGCCATCTTTCAGCGCAGTGAGGTTGACACATGGCCAAGGCGGATCGCATAATCTGATGTTGACAGACCACATTAATGAGGTCGTCCACTTATTTCTTGGTGGAATGTTGTGAGAGTGAACCCCTGCAGATTCAACCTGAATCCAGAAGTTGCCTCTGACCTCACCACCTGATCTCGCAGGACACACCCACCATGTAGCTGCTTTTCAACAGTCTAACCCCAAAATGCAGGGAAAATGCCTCTAAAAGTGGTTAGCGCATCGGTTGTGGCTTGGACTCCCAACCTTGAGGTCGAGGGTTTGAAACTCTCGCTGTGCAAATTGCTTGTGTCCTTGGGCGGCACTTTATCTACGTTTGCCTCTCTCCACCCAGGAGTACAAGTGGGTACCTGGTAGGTTCCAACACAACTGTGCTGATTACTAGCTGCAATATTATGTGTTCCATATGTGTTTGATCCAATGACCGGGGTAGTAATGTGAACCGCTTAGAGGTTTTGTGTATGAAGCGCTATATAAGAACGACATATTATTAATCATTATTATTATTAAAAGATGATTTCACCGGCCCCGTTTATCATTTTCACCTGCCCATTTTGTCATTACGTTTAACGTAATAACAGTATGATATGTTAACAAGTTTACAATTCTAATAATTCATTATTCTATACACGATTTATATGCCTCGTTTGATAAAATTTCACATAAATGTGGTAGTAACATACATCAATGCCTGTGGCCTCTTTCAGTTCATTTAATGCTTTATCCACATCTCGCACCAGGATAGTTTGTATACCAAGTTCTTTGGCTGGTTTTAAATTTTGCCCAAGATCATCAAGGAAGACAGCCTAGAATAAAGGGAAAAACATTAGCATTTAATTCCTGATCTGTTCATACTATTAAGTTTCATGGGACAAGTGCCTGTGATTTGCCCTTATATGGGTATAGACATGACATGACCATGACCATATTTGGGTATGATATGATATCACAATGATCATATATGGCAAATCACATATTTGTCACAGGAAATTATACAGTGTAAACAGATCTTTAGGTCAGGCTAAAGAAATACATGTACTGTATTTAGTTTCTTTTTGCATTCCCCTATATGTACTTTCTTTTTTAAACTTTTAATCCCCCCTCCCCCAGTCAGGTGGTGTTGGAACTCTGGTCCCCCCCCCCCCCCCCACCACCGCATGCAAATCCTGCTGCCACCCCTGTGTGAGTGGAGTCCATTTCCTGCAATAAGAATTTGACCAAGATGCAAATTACAAGCACATTTTTAAGACCCTGGTCACATGGTCATCCCCTGATCTCATCCCTAATCAACTACAGCATACCTCAGAGGGTTTCACTTGCAGCCTGTCACAGGTCAATCTGTAGATCTCTGGGTCAGGTTTGCGAAGCCCCACTCGGCACGACTCAATTATCTCATCCAGACAGGATTTTAACGACATCATAAAATGTGAATGAGGTCGATTTGATGATGTATCGTCAATGTAATTATTTGTTAGAACACAAGTCTTCAAACCTAATAAAAGAAATGATTAATCATGTTTCGTAAGTCCTCATAAAAGATATAGACATTAATTATAATGTTTTTACATTTTATTATGTATGGATCATAATAATAACAATAAACACTAACAATAATATTAATAATAATAATGATAACAATAACAATAGCGCTAACTTGGACGTAAGGGGAATATCTTTTGTGTTATTTTCCCCTTAATGTTGTTTTTTTAATTGTTCTCTAATTTCTCCATTGTCTAAGTTTTCTTTAAGGTTGGTTTCAGCAACATAATAATACTAATAATAATATTAATAATAATAACAATTCCAATAATAATAATAATAATAAATAATAATAATAATAATAAGTTGGTTTTTTCTCCTATTTTTCAACCTTTTTCATTTTACGTGGTGTACTGCAAGCTTCAAAATATTTATCTTTTTCATGTTTGTTATTTATGTATTGTTTGCCCCAAAGTATTATAAAATAAAATAAATAATAAAATAATAACAATAAGAATAATAATAATAATAACAAAAATAATAATAATAATAATAATAATGAAATATACTACTACTATTAAATAATAATAATGATATTTATGTGTAATTTTCCTACACAAGGCCATGATAATATATCACAACCTATACAACTAAATGGGAATGATGGTATTCTATCTAACACATAAATGGGCATGACAGTGTAATCACACCCATATATAGGCAAATCACATGATATATGTAGTGAGGTTTACCAGCTTGTTTCAAAGCAATGAGAGCTTGCAGCATCCCAGCAACAGGTTTAACACTGTGCATCTCACTCCACATCGACTCTGGACGGAAACTTGATGGCAGTTTAAGCCCTTCATCTTTGGCTGCTTCCTGGCATTCAGCCTCAAATTCCCGGTAAAACTTCATCGATAAGGGAAGAAAATGCCAGGCCAGAGTATATTAATTATTCATAGACTATATTTTCACAAATATCAACACAAGACCTCTATCAATTTGATAATCCACCAGTTATCAAGTGGGGTAGCCTGGACAAAATTAAGAAGGAGGCTTACTTTGCTAACCGACGTCTCAAAGCGCTCGAATGGTGGGCTAGCTCGTACAATAACTTTCTTCTCCTCGTGTCTGAGCTACAGTGCCAACTACTCTCGTCTGTCCACAACAGGGGCTATATGGACTAGTACACCGGGGTAACTCCCTTATCACCTCAAAATATGTACTGGGTTCTTTAAAAAATCCAGAAACATAGGCGAGCATGCTGTTCAAACCAGCGCCGATGGCTATAGGTTGTTGTAGGTCATTAAACTTGCTAATAAGAAATCGTAAGAAATAATGGGAGGCTATTGCCTGGTTCTCACAAGAGCCCTAGTATCCGGATCGGGAGCTAACCGTTAGTACCTGCGTGAGAACACCCGATCGGTTAGCGCTAACCGTTAGCAGTAGCCGGATACCGCTAACGGTTAGCAAGCGCTATCGGTTAGCAAGTTGAGCGCATTTCTATCATCAATCAATCACACAACGCGTTTACAATTTTCAGTTTCTTATTGGCCAGTAATTCAATCATCATATTTTTGGTATCCAGATCGGGATTTTCTTGTATGGACGCACGGCAGCTAACGGTTAGCAGGATCTGGATCCTGCTAACCATGTGAGAACATAGCCTAAGTTTGTTACCATTATTTAGTATATTAACTGATGACCTTACCTGGGTTACTGATATTTCTCCCCTTTCCATTCTGCAAAAAGAATTGTGAGGGCGCCCTCTGATCATCACACTCTCCAAAAAGAATCTAGAATAGACAGATGTATTTCAAAATCTCTTAATGAATGTAATTGATATTGCCATAAAAAGTAGTCATGGATCTACAATAAATCTGTACAGAATAACATTTTTTGTATATGTTTATTTTGTAAGATAAAGCAACAAATACTGTACCATCATTGCATCAAACTTCACCAAAAAGATCTAGGGCCTAGTTATAGATTAAATATTAACAAGATTGATAAACCCCACCCCTTGGGTTTTGTTGCTATGGCAAAATGACATTTCACCAATAGTGCGTAGGCGTGTTCTTGGTCCATCCTGATTTGTTTGATTGACTATGACTATGTGAATTAAGGTACCCAACACTGCTTATCTCAGCTGAGACACGTGACACCGAGACTGTGGTCTAGAAGTCTCTAAAACTCTCTTTTAATTAAACGAACTATACAATTCTAATCATACCCTGGAAAACCTAGACTTTCTGCGTATCTTCTAAGGCCTCTTTGTGGCTGTTCCAGGATCACGCCTCCTAGGTCAAATATGACTGCTTTCACTGCTGGTGTCGATGGCTTCATGTTTGAGCACGATGCGGCTGACAAAAGATCGCGGGACCTCGACAACAAGCATCGATTTCTGGCTAAGTTTGACAGGGCTTTCCAGTAAACAAAAGACGTTGAATGTAATAGACCAAACATTTGCCTGTACTACATTAATATAGCATTAAATATCAATGCCATAAAGACATTTGACGAACAAAACTTCAGCCAAAGGAAACGTGTAAGCTAGTGAAATCCAGGGATCTAGTTGGTCGCAAGGCCCGCCTTCTTGTTTACATGTCACAGGTGATTGAGCATCGTACTAAAATAGAGGGCGCTATGTGAACTTCCGACGTTCCGACGGAGTCTTCAGAGCAACGCGACCACTGCTTGGGTATTTTCTTGGGTATTTTGACTTGGTCTTCTTGGGTATTCCGTTCAAATCCTTGGGTATTTTATTTCTACTAAGAAAATTAAATATTTTTGTCATAGAGGAAGAATTAAGAAGTAACAAAGTATATTTCAGTCCATTCAAGTAAGCAAAACTCAACGAAGTGCACATAACATTGTTAATTGACTGTTATTGCTATAAACATGAGTTCAGAATTGTTTACTTGTGATTTGCGTTGCCATTGATCTTACCTAATTAATGCATTACATATTGAAACTTGGTACCGTACTCGCGCGAAGAAGCGCCCCGTTTGAATAAGCGCCCCTCTCAAATAACCGCCCTTCCTAACGTGAAAATTTCCTTAAGCGCCCCGTTTGAATAAGCGCCCCATTCTAATTTGAATAAGTGCCCCGGTCAATAATATTATAAGATTTTCTTTTTAGCAAGTCAATAAGCCAATCAATACTGGACTGTGCTGTGCGAAACACATTCTTTTTTTAAGTCAATACCAAAATGAGGATATTTCTCTTGGACATGAGAGCTCCGATCCCTGGACAGACAGTATATTTCCAACTTTACACTTTTTATATATTTGTCTATCCTCTTTTTCTTTTTCCGACCTTTAACACATTCTCATCTGAGTTTTAAAGAAAAAATACATTGATCCTGCCATCCTGTTAATCTCATTTGGCCGATGGCCAACAAGCTAACCACTACCCCCACCATTAATTGCATCTGCTATTTTGCTGCTATGTAAATAATCACGCATTCTTGTCGTGAGCCATGTTCTCTGGAGGATTATTTTTTCCGCCTAACCACCATCGTAATCCCCTTTTCATTCAAAAAGTGCCTATTGAATTTAATAATTTTCCATAAGAACTCCTCGATTTTCATCTATTTCCATAAGCGCCCCCTCAATTTCCACTCTGTTTTCGTAAGCGCCCCGTTCAAATAAGCGCCCCGTTTGAATAAGCGCCACTCAGAAAGTGCAAAAAATATTTTAAGCGCCCGGGCGCTTATTCGCGTGAGTACGGTAAGTGATGTACCTGGATGTAAGTAACTGATAACACTACTGAGGGCGTATTTTTCTATCCGTATTATCACCTCATGAATATTAATTTTAATAATTAACACAAACAATTACAATAAAAATGGTTTATAGAATGAACCAAAATGGGAACTATACATGCGATGCGAAAAACACGTTTTTTTCAAATGTTAACTCATTTTCTGGAAGCTTGTGTAATTTTGGGCAATTTTTGTTGAATCTTGGGTAATTTCGATCCAGTCATTGGCCGGGTATATCAAAAATTGATTGGTCACGTTGCCTCAGAGTCACGGTTCAAAGTAATCCGAGATTTTGTAAAAAAATGGGGGAAACAATAGCACGTAGTGATGAAAGACAAAGACAGAACACTGGTGTAGAAACGGTTGCGTTTCTGTATGAGTTTTGTAATTGAAAATAGGTGGCGCACAGCGAAATGCCCAGTTGTCGGAACCACGCTAATGA